AAATACAAAGGCACCTCCCCCACACACACACCAGAAGCTTATATTGGGCTCATCCAATGAGAGCGAGAAGGGACCTTTGAGATGATCGAGTTTCCCTCATTCAGTCAAGAAAACTGACAACCAGACTTGTCCATAGTAATACAGTTAGTAAGGGGCAGACCCAGGTTTGGAAACCAGGGTTTCTCTAATGCCAAAGCCTGTACCTTTTCTATTATACCATGCTGTTTCTCCCAGTCCTTTCACTGTTTAAAAATAAATTTAATTGTCTTTTTCATTACTAAGTACAATTATTTAATAGTAGCTAATATTTTTATAGTACTTAACTTATATTATCTCATTTAATCCTCACAATAACCCTGTAAGGTAGAAACTATTATCTCTGGTGCAGCTAGGTTGGCTCAGTGGATAGAGCATTGGGCCTGGATTCAGGAAGACTTGAGTTTAAATCCAGACTTAAACACTTAACTAGCTGTGTGGACCTCCCACCCCACCCCCAAGTTACTTATTAGCCTCTGTCTTCTTCAGTTTCCTCATCTGTAAAATGGGGATAAATAATAGCACCTACTTCCTATGGTTGTGAGGATCAATAAGATAGTAATTGTAAAGTGCTTGCCAGGCACATAGCAAGTGCTCCATAAATGTTAGCCATTATTATTATTATTATTATTATTATTAAACTTTATAGAACAAGAACTTAAGAAAAAAGCTACCAAATTTTTTAAAAAGATACTGTAAATTATTATACTTGTACTATTGATCCCCAAAACAAAAGGTATATTAATATTACTCCTGTAATAACCAATTTTATTTTTTCTTTGTGTATTATTTCAATAGTCTAGGGAAGTTTTCTGTGTATTTAAAATGGATTTGTTACTGTTCTTTGTTTTTTAACATAGCTGTAATCAGTATGAATACTATTATCTGATTTTTCTTTTCTGTATCATTTCATGTTTCCCACATTTATTTCAAACAGTTACAGTCATGTACTATAATTTGTTTTCTAGTGGTTGGACTATGGTTTATTTCCTGTACCCCCCTTTTTTGGTAAAAGTAGTGCTTCTAGAAATTTTGTTTTACAATATGCATTTTCTTTTACATATGAGTTGTCCTTCCAGTCCTTAGCAATAACATCTTTCAGATTGGAATGCTAGCAGCAAGAATAGTACAAAAAAGTGGCAGAGACCTGGAGAAAGGAGAAGAGAGTGTGATGGGATTTTGAGGTGAAGAACTTAGGAGAAGAAAGAGCTAACTAACATGGAGTTTAGTAAAATGAAACCCTACAGGGGAAACGGAAGACTTGAGAGAAGAAAATATTTGAAATAGCTTCTTTTTTGGTACCTATCTTTGAATTGATGGAAAATCTTACCCAGATATTTCTCATTAACCTTTGTGGCGATGTGATGTCACCAAAAGATTTGACTTTCTGAAATTGTATCTTTTTTTTCTTTTTTTCTTCTTTTTTTTCAGTTTTTCAGTTAAGGAACAGATGGGTTCAGAGTCAGTGAAGCAACCAAAAATAGAAGCTTTTGATACACATTATGTCCAGAAAATCTTACATAACAATGAGGAGATTCTGTTTCTCCATTATTGGCTTTTATTTCCATTTTATTCTTATTTAAGCTCCACCTGTGATTTGTGGCAACCAGTAGAACACTCTCCCTCTGTTCTTCAGGCCTAAAAATGAAACAAACTATTTTCTGTTCCATCACTTGTTCTCTGGCAGTTTTCAAGTTTCCCTCTTGATTCAGAAATGGTAAAGCCATATTGACCAGATCAGAAGGATCCACTAAAACTCTGGTTTTAAGTGACTTTGCGGTTTTGTGTTTTTAATAGCAACTTTGCATGAGAATAAATCTCCAACTTCTGTAAAGAAGCTTTGACATCTCACTACAGCATTCATTTCTATTTTTCCTGCCCCTTAAACAACTGACAACCTTTCTTTTTTCTCATAGAATATTTCTTCTAGTTCTCACTTTTCTAATCTTACTCCAAAGTCCCTTACATCTCTGAGCAAGCTTTTTTACTTGTGAACCTTAATAGATTGTATTTTGAGAAACTTTTGAAATACAACTCTAGCTGACTAAACCAAAGTGTTTGAGGGATTGAGTTCAATTAAACAAGAATATGTTAAGTGCGTGCTCTGTGCAAGAGGTCCTGGTGATATTTAGAAAGGTAAAGATGAAAAATAGCCTCTGCCTTCAAGAAATTTAATATTCTGAGAGAAGAACAAGGTATTAGTTGTTTTAGAGGCAGGAAAAGTGGAAATGAAGATTGTTGTATAGAAACAGTAAAGAAATAGACTATAGTCAAGGTTAACTGAGGTAGAATGATGTAAGAAAAGGGTGAGAATTCTACTAGGATGCCCATATTCTGTGAACTGCTTTGAATCTATGTGAGTATCCAAATGAAACTCTCCAAGGTCTTATTTTCTCAAAGTTTAGATAATGGCCAGTACCAGCAAGAATTCATTGTAATGGAATGTTGAGAGGGTATTTTAAAATTCCATTGGGTATAAATGTTGTTTTATATTTTCAGTCTAATCGTTAATTGTTACTTCTAGAAGCTTTTAAAATTATTTCTCACAAAATAAAAGTTAATGTTTCAAAGGCATTCCTAAATTCAATACATCTTTAATTTTATCTTGCTTTTTGATAGTAAAAGGATAAAAATAAGAAAATGAACTATGTAATGTTTTTCATTCAAGCTCAAAGAGCAGAAATAAATCTTAGAATTTAAGATATTCAGATTAATAGCCCTTCAGTTAAATTTTTTAAACCTTTTTCAGTAGTCTGGTAGTATTCTGAAATGGACACAGCTAGTGCAGACCTTACATGCTAAATACAAATGTTTTGTAAACCTGAAGACATATAAATGTGAGTTATTATTTTCCTTTTTCATACTATCCACCTGTGGTAACTATCCAGTGGCATGGGGGCCTAAAAAAGGCTCTTTAAAGTAGAACAGCTAATTCCATAATTGTTTTTAAATAAATTAGCTTCAAGCAAATTTCTCTTTACTCACTTTTCTAATTACATGCTGCTTACCTTAGCTAGAACTGATATACAAATCATTAAAAAAGGCTTTTGCTAAATTGGTTCTATAATACAATTTGATTTTAGCTAATTTTTAAGGTTTCAAGAATATAATGGGCTTTTAAAAACATGTTTTTGTTGCAAGAAACTAGTTTGTGTTCAATTTGTGAACCTTTATATAAACTTAATGTACATAATTATTTGTAGTTTTGCCAAATATATTTTATTTATTGTTGGTAGGAGATAGATTGTAAGATTATGCTGCAAGTCAGAACTGCCAAAATGTACGAGAAACTAAATTTTAAATAATTTCTTAAATGTTACTTTGCATGAATGAAATAATATCTTGGAATGTCTCTTGTGACTAAATGTTTAAGTCTTGAAAAATCTTGGAATATTAGTATTTTTTAGATGATTATATATAACTTCAGAATTCATAAGGTGGGAAGGGAAGGAAAGAGATAGAGATAAGCAGTATTTTTGGTTTCTTACCAATAACAATGCCTTCTCATAGCTTTAACCAAAGTTTAGACTTCAGTCAGGATGATTTATAATAATTTTAAGGTAGACAACAATAAGTATAGAAATGTAATAGTTTCTTAATGATCGGTCTGCTAAATGTCAGTTTGGCCCTCTATTTGTTAATTTCTTAGAAATAAGCGTAATCATCTGGTTTATATGACCAGGGAATATTCTTGAGCTCAATATCCCTGGTTCATTTTTAATACAAATTTGTTTGACTTAGGAAGATATTATCATAATAAAAATTGTTAATTTATGTTATGTTTTTTTCAAACGATTAAGGTGGGGAAGCATTAAGCTCTAATAAAGTTAGAAAATCTAAAAGTGATATAATTTTTAATTTTTATATAATTTAATATCTAATATGGTAATTTATATTTATAATTATTATTAAATGGTAATTTAATTTTAATTTATTAAATAATTTAATATAATATGCTTTTTAGCCATTAAAAAAATTTTTTCTGATTCTGATATACCATATTCTTTGAGTTCCAATGATTACTGATTTGGGGGGTGGGGATGGGAAGACGTCTTTTGGATTAAATAGTTCTACCATGTTTATGTTCTGAAAAGTAATAAAAAATCTTCACTTTATTTTGCCTGTATCTATGTACTTTTACCTATGTGTAAATCAGAAGGGTGTGTATTCAGAACTAAATTACACCTTCAACCCAGGAAATACCACAAAGTTAAGAGTGAGTCCATAAAATTGTAAAGATTCATACTATGCAAAATAGCTTATACCTGCTATAAGGTAAAAATAATTAACTTAGAATATTTTCACATTCATAAGATTTGATAGTATGATTTAACATTAACTTCAGCTCTGCTTACAATTTCTTAAGAGCGTTAATAACATCATTCCTTAAGGAGGAGGCAGTGTTGTTCCTAGTGGATAGAGGACTGGCCTCAGAGAGTGGTTAAAGGCTGCCTCTCACATGGAGGTTTTAACAAGGGGTCCGTGGATAGATTACAGGGGATCTGTGAATACACACACAGACACGTCTGTATATTTATATATACATACATGTACACATGTCTTTGTTTTTACTTGCCTCTATCTGAAACTTAGCATTTGTTTCAGTTATTTAAAAACATGATTCTGAGGAGCTCATAGGTTTCCCCAGACTGCCAGAGGGGTCTGTGAGAAAAAAAAGATTAACACTCTAACCTTGGCTGTGTGACCCTGTCTAAACCACTAACCTCTTTAGTATTCCAGGCAACTCTCTAAGAAGATATAAATTGCTGAACAGTTACAACTCACTTTGCCATGTTAAGAGAGTATGTCCTCACTTAGAACTCCTTACACCCAGTCCAGACCCCACCTAAAAATAATTTTTGTTTTTCTCCTAATTCACAAATTCTTTTTTTCCTGAGATTTATGATCTTGAAACTTTTTTTAAAGTAATCATCTTTAAAATGTTAATTCTTTTTTCTTTATAGGAGTACCAAAATCTAATCTCTTGCATACCAGATCATTAAGGGGCCACAAAGAGTGCTTTGAAAAATTCCATTTGATAGCCAACCAGGATTGTCCTCGATCTAAACTCTCCAAAAGCACTTATGAAGAAGTCAAAACTATATTTAGCAAAAAGATAAATTGGATTATACGGCACGCCCAGAATAAGGATGTAGAGTCGGATCCTGATGGTCCCAAAACTTCCCAGCGACCACTTTTAAATTTTAGACATAAGTCAGATAGAAAGTTATTACCACAGTTTGATTCCCAAGTACCAAAGTATTCTGCAAAATGGATAGATGGAACAACAGTGAACATCTCAAACCATGCACAAAGAATTTTGGAGCAGAGTGAATCTGCAAGCTTCGGGCTTGATATGTTGCAAGATTCAAGTGCCCCTTTCTGCTATAATAGTGTTTTGTGGTCTCATTGCCAGCAAACTCAGAAAAAAGAAGCTTCTGTTTCAGACATTGGTGACCAGAGACAACACACTTATTATACAAGAGAACAATGTAAGTAAAGCAGTGTCAGAGAGAAAGTTTTTTATATTTTTGTAATGTGTCAGCTGTGCAGAGTCTTATATGGTTCATAATTAATTGATTTGATGGTTCTTCCCTCTACTATTGCTGTATTCTGATCTTTCGTCATGTATCAATTACCATAGATTCATGAGTCCAAGCCAAAAAGCATCATTCTGGCAGGTTCAGTTAAGCTAGAAAAGGTACAGGTATTGTCCTGATGCCTGTCATCCATGGATCAAAGAGGCTTATTGTGAGAATATTGATTACCACGTCATTTAAAGAAATTATTTTCCGGCCTTAATGCAGAGAATATGTGATAAGGGATAAAAGCTGATAAATATATCAGTCCTCAGAATATTGGATAACTAATACTTTCTACCTAGTTGCTAATTCAGACCCAAATGAGATGTTGGCTTCCATAATCTTATTTAAGAATTAGATGTAGTCTTGATGTGCTTTGAAAGTATTTTATGGTGTCTTTTGTTTCATCTTAAGTTTCTAAATTAATATCAGTCAAGTGTGACTTTCCCATTGTTACATACAGGCCCAACTATTGGCTATTGTACTCTATGCATAGTTTCACAAGAGTCTAAACTTTGAATTAGGATGGAATGACAAAACCCCTGATAGTAATTGTAACATGAGAAGTAGCAAAAAAAAAAAGCATGTTCTTTTTTAAACATGGAAACAATGATATTAATTCATCACTGCCCCCAAACAAGAATTGGAGAAACATGCATGGTTGAGGTTTGCATTGACTTGACAAGTTGTATTTCTGTTTATAATTTTCTTTCATCATTTCAGCTATGGTCTAAATAACAAGGTTTTTAATATTATATAAGACCACTGAGTTTTTTACTAAAGTAACAACTTGTAGCTGCGTTCCACAATGCCGCTTAGGGCAAACAAAAGTGTCTGAGGAAAGAGCATGCTTTTTGTTAATGTGGCTGTTTTACTTTTCCTAGTTTTTATGGTAATAATGACTATATTTTCATGTTGTAGTGAGTTCAATGAGTCTTGGTGAGGTAGAGCAGCTGAATGAAAAGCTTCACCAACAAATCCAAGGTAAGCAATCATTTTCAACACTTAGGGAAAATTTTATAGTGTAGAAAATCTCATTTTAAAAGGAATTAAAGGATTTCTTCAGTTACATTTTAATTTGGAAATTAAAACATCATGTTGGAATTCCAGAGCATGGGAGTTTAAAAGAAAACATACAAAGTAAGGTGTAAAAAGAGAATATCTCCAGAGTTGCTACTTTACTAGAAGATCATTTACTTAATCATGCTGTCATGTTGGTCATAGTTTGGGACATACATTTTGTTGTATTTTTCTGAAGATATAAGACATAACGGATTTTTTTTATATGTGTGTGTGTGTGTGTGTGTGTATATATATATATATAATGTATATTTTATACACACATACACACACATATGAATATAATCTTTAAATTTGGAGTCATTAGAAAATACATTTGGAGGAATGTAAGGTCTAGAATCTCAAGGAGAATGAGGAAAAAAAGTAGAAATTAAGGAGGAATGGCTCTTCCAGACTACAAATTGTATTATAAATATTATAAAATATTATAAAACTAAATTATTTTGGTACTATTGGTTAAAAAGACAAAAATGGATCAGTGAAACAGCCTAGATGAGGAAGAATGAAGACATAGGAACTCTAAAGCCAGTATTCAAACTTGAACATAAAAATGACTGGGAAGGAAGGGCTACCTTTTTGACAAGAACTGCTGACAATACTGTAATACAGTATGTCTGAAATTGAATTCATATTGTCTACACCAATAAGCTTAAAATATATGTACAGTCTGATTATATTAGGACACAACAAGACTGGGTAACTTCCACAACCTGAACGAGAGGAAAAATTCTTAACCAAATAAGGATTAAGTATGATTACAAAAGAAAAAATAAGATGTAAATTCTATTTCAGTGTGAAATTGAAAAGCTTTTGCACAAATTCAGGGGAGCTCTAAGATAAAAGGACAAGGCATCAATTTTACATCATGTATCTGATCAAGATCTGAAATCCAAGTTGTATGGAGTATTAACACAAATATATAATTGCTATTCCCGAATGGGTAAAGTGGTCAAAGTGTAGAAGAATTGCAAATTATTGAGCCATATGAAAAATTGTTCTCATTTTCCCCTGAACAAAAGAAACAATTGGTGTTGGCTATTGGGAAAAAGGCAAACTAATATACTCTTGGTGAAGCCCTGAATTGGTCCAGCCATTCTGGAAAGTAATTTGGTATTATCAATCAACATGCGTTTATTGAGCACCTAACATATACTAGATACTGTGCTAAGCATTGGACGTACAAACTCAAAAATAAAACTATCCCTGCCCTTGAGGACCTTAACATTCTAATGAGGAGGCAGTGTATATAAAAGGAATATAAGATAGTTCAATGATTCTGGAAGACATCAACCCATGATTTCATTGGTCTTCTTGCAAAATAAAGGATAAACAACAACAAGGTGAGAAAGAGGTACATATCAGAGTAAGAGACGGCCGGTGCAAAAGCACAGAGATGGGAGGTGAATTTTATATGTGAGGAACAGAATGAAAGCTAGTTTGGCAGGATCTAAGAGTATGGAAGGGGTAATAACAACAGACATAGGGAAGTTTTGAGGAAGGATGGCCTTGGGGGGGAAAGATTAAATTCTTTGTTGGATATGTAGAGTTTGAGATGTCTCTGAAACATACTCTGTTGAATAGGCAGTTGGTGTTTCAGCTCTGGTATCCCTGCCTCATCTGTCCCCACTCCAATCCATCCTACATTACTACAGCCAGTGATTTTTCTTAAGTCCAGATTTGATCACATCAGTCCCCTCCTTAATTCCAATGGCTCTTTATTATCTTTAGACTCAAATGTAAACTCCTGTGTTTAGCTTTTAAAGCTCTTGCCTATTTTTCCACACTCATATTATCCCTGCTCCCACTTTGCTTTCTTTCTTTCTGTTCTTCACATACAAAATGAATTTCTCATCTTTATGCTCTTGCACTGACGATCATCCATGCCTAGAATATAATCTTCACCTGTATCTCACAAAAATCCTCTTTTCTTTGAAGATGGAACTCAAGAATAGCCTCCTATGCAAAGCCTTTCCTAACTTCTCTTTGATTCCCACCCTACCTTGCTGTACTACATCCCAGAATTACCTTGTATTCCTTTTGTATATACCATGCTTAGACTTGTACATCATATCTCCCCATTATAATAATAGCATTTTATAACACTTTAAGATTTGTAATATTCGTGTTTTATCTGTGTCCTGACAATACTCCTGGGAGGTAGATTATCAGCATTTTACAATAAAGAAAATTAAGGCATATAGAAGTTAAGCAAATTGCCCAGGATCACACAGCTGTCTGAGGCAGGATTTGAATTAGTCTTTCTGACTCCAGGTCCAGCATTTTATCTACTGTGCCCCTAAGCTACAGTTAGAATATAAGCTCCTTAATAGCAGGTACAGTTTCATATAATGGGGTTTAAGGTATTTTTTATTTAAGGATGGGGAGGAGTTAAGACATGTTTGAAGGCAATATTAGTAATTATGTATTGGGGGGGCAGTTGAAAAGTACCACAACTTAACATCAGTATAACAAATATTAACCTAACTAATTTCATTGAGTATTTTGAGATTTTTTTTTTGTATAGGTGTTGTTTTTAATAGAAAAATTGATAATGCATTCAATTTAAATTACTTGGAAAGTGAATTACATGAGCTTTCTAGAAACTAAAAATAAAATTTACTTGCATTCTTTTAGAAATTTTTGAGCAGCTGACATACCAAGTACAGGAAAAGGATTCTTTGGCTTCAGAACTCCATGTCCGACATATTGCCATCGAACAACTACTTAAGAATCATTCCAAGTTGCCATGTCTTCAAGCGGGGAGACAAGGAACAAAGTGCAACCTTTCCATAAGTAACTGAACAAGACTCATACCTAATTAATTCTGTCAATTCATTGGTCAGTTGTGGAGACTTCTAATAAGTGTGTTGGAAAGTTGTTGCATCCTTTTGAAAACATTTGGAATCTTTTCAACAGCATTCCATCTATTTTAAGTAAAGTTTTAAAAATATTTTTTTCTCCCCATTTACATGTAAAAACAATTTTCAACATTTGGATTTGTGGTTTTTTTGTTTTGTTTTGTTTTTAAAGTTCCAAATTCTATCCCTCTTTCCTCCACCCAGCCTGGGATAGTAAGCAGTCTGATATAGATATTATACACGTGCAATCATGTAAGACATTTCCATGTTAATCATTTTGTGCAAGAAGACTTGAACAACAGTAACCCAAAAAAAAAGGTGAAAAATAGTATGCTTCAGTCTGTATTCAGATGACATCAGTTCTTTTCTGTGGAGGTGGATAGCATTTTTCATCATGAATCCTTTGGGACTGTCTTGGATCACTGTATTACTGAAAAATAGCTAAGTCATTTCCCAGTTCTTCATCATACAGTATTGCTGTTACAGTGTACAATGTTCTCCTGGTTCTGCTCACTTCCCTTTGTATCAATTCATGTAAAAGTTGCAGGTTTTTCTGAAATTATCCTGTTTTTCATTTCTTAGAGCATAATAATATTCCATTGCAATCATACCATAGATCTGAGAAGGAAACCATTCCATGCCTTCCTAATTTGCTGTATCACCCTTTATGTGTAAATCATGTACTCATTTTGATCTTATTTTGGTGTGTATATAGTTTGAAATGTTGGTCTGTATACCTAGTCTGCCATACTGTTTTCCAGTTTTCCCAGCAGTTTTCTTGAATAATGAGTATTTGTCCCAAAAGCTTGGATCTTTGGGTTTAGCAAACACTAGATTACTGTGGTCATTTACTACAATATATTGTGTACTTAATATATTCTAATGATCCAGCAACTCTGTTTCTTAGCCAATACCAGATGATTTGATAATTATTGCTTTATAGTACAATTTGAGATCTGGTACAGCTAGACCACCTTCCTTTGCATTTTTTTTCCATTAATTCCCTTGATATTCTTAACCTTTTTTGTTCCAGATGAATTTTGTTGTTTTTTTTAAGCTCTGTAAAATAATTTTAGTTGTTTGATTGGTATGGCACTGAATAAGTGAATTAATTTAGTTAAAATTGTCACCTTAATTATATTGGCTCAGCCTGCCCATGAGCAATTAGTACTTTTCCAGGTGTTTAGATCTGACTTTGTGTTTTGAAAAGTGTTTTGTAATTGTGTTCATATAGTTCCTGAGTTTGTCTTGGCTGGTAGACTCCCGAGTGTTTTTATATTGCCAGAATTATTTTAATTGGAATTTCTCTTTCTATTTCTTGCTGTTGGTATTATATAGAAATGCTGTTTGTTTTGTATCCTGCAACTTTGCTAAAGTTCTTAATAATTTCAAGTAGTATTTTAGTCGATTTGCTAGTATTCTCTAAGTATAACGTATCATCTGTAAAGAATGATAGTTTTTTTCTTCATTGCCTATTCTAATTCCTTAACTTTCTTTTTCTTTTCTTATTGTTACAGCTAGCATTTCTAGTATAATATTGAATAGTCGTGGTGAAAATGGGCATCCTTGCCTCCCCCCTGATTTTATTGAGAAAGCTTCTAGCTTATGCTCATTACAGATAAAGCTTGCTGATGGTTTACATAAATATTACTTGTCATTTAAAGATAAGCTCCATTTATTCGTATGCTTTCTAGTGTGATTAATAGGAATGGCTGTTGTATTTTGTCAAAGGTTTTTTTCCTTTCAATCTATTTTAAATGCCAGATCTTGATGATTTTAACTTAGCAGGTGATTATTTTGATTCATTTCTAAAGCTATTTTTAAAATAATTTTCCTGTGATTGCAAATGCTCTCTCCTTTGCCCTCTTCCCCCTCTACCGTTTCTTTGATGTTTTAGTTACTGTGTACATCATTACAGTGTGAGTGTATTATAAACATTATTGTTTGTTTATCTGCTATATCAGTAGAAAAATGTCAATAAAAGCCTTAGGTCAGACTAAGCTACTAAATTGAATTTTGAAAGGGGAAAAATTAATGAAATTCACCTCTTATTTATTATGAGCAATATTTTAATACAGAAATTTTATATAAGAATGCTATTTTAGATACCTTTCCAGTTATCTTTATAAAAATGCATTTGAATAGCTTTATATAAATGTTTACACTTGTATATAATTATGTTCCTATAATTTCACTAGTATAGGGATCTCCTGGTGAGGAATTTCCTCTACTAGTGAAGACTGCTCTGCAGTTTGTAGTCTGAGAAATCACAGGTCCACTCCCAATCGCTATCCATATCCTATTTAGAGCTTCTTTCAACCACATTTTCTTCTAAATCTGTGAAACATGGAAGGAAAAAGTGTGCTCAAATCTATTTAAAAAAATTCATTCCATTTAGGTTGAGCTCTTCAAAGGAAAAAGGCCATGCAAATATGTGGCATTGGTATAAGGTAGTGAGCGGACGTTACTTCCATTTTCACGTTTTTAAAATTTTGCACAAAAACTTGTCCAAATATGTAATAGGCTTAGGGTAGCACAATATAACATACTGAATAGCATGCTGAACTTGGAGTCCAGAAGACCCAAGTTCAAATCCTGCCTGGACCCTTACAATATGACTTTAAGCAAGTCATTAATAGAAGGATTAGAATTTAAGAATGCTTTGAAGGATCAAACTATAAATTGACACAGTACTTTTTTTTTTATCCCTAAGGTATAAAACATAGTAGAATGAAAATTTTTATTTCAGTGTAGAATTATAATATCTTATAATTGTATTTAAAGTTAATTTGCAAAGGTAAGAGATTATGATAAATTATAATAAAAATTTTAAATTTCTATTACTTGATTTGCTTTGTCCTTGTGGTGTTAATCTCTGAACCTCCAGCTCTAAATTATATGGACTATTAAGATTTGTTGGAGGGAGTCCTACACCCAGGAAATCACAGGTCATTATGCTTAGAGTTTGTTAAATATGCCTATTTTTGTGTTCACTTGGATGCACATGTGGAGTTTTTGTATATGTAAATAGGTGGATTTATTTGGATTTCATTATAATTTGAGGGAACTATTGATTGGCTATCAAAGTATTATATTAATAACTTTGGTGAAGTTCAAAAGAAAAATCTGAATTTGAATTCTACCATTATTCATCTTCACATATGGCTATTCATAGCAGACTGCCATGCTGTTAACATATATGCAATCTCCTAGTTGTGTGCTTTCACCATTGCTGTCATATCTCATTCCTGCAATGTACTCCCTACTCATCTCATATTCCTTATTTTTCTTCAAGGCTAAATAGCAGAGTGTTTTGTTTTGCACTTCCTGGAGCCCTGGCTGATAGGTTCCTCTTTCTCTCTTCTTAGATAGTCCTGGAGTACTTTTTATGTTCCCTATCACTCTCTAACTTGTTTGAATATCCCTCTCAATAGAATAGCTGTTTTTGAGGTACTGTTCATCTTTTTGCCTTTGCATCCCAGGCACTTAATAAATATTGAACTGAATTAAGAATTTAGGGGGGGAAATATAGTTATGAAAAATATTGGCTTATTATCTTGCAGTCTAAATAGAAAAAACTTTTGAATTAAAATGAGAAGCAGCATAGTATAGTAGATAGAGACCAGGCCTCAAAGCCAGGAAGACCTCATTTTTAGTCTTGCCTTCCACTTACTGACTGTTTAACTCTGGACCAGTCACTTAACCTCTCAGTGCTCTAGGCAACTCTGAGTCACAGAAAATGTGCCAGCCTTCATGGTAGAGAGAGTTTCTTACCTTGGATTTCCCTATAACAATGAAATGACAGGTCAGGTGTCAATCCCTGACTAAAATTGATAATTCTCCTGGCAAGCTTTATGTATAGAATACAATCCCATGTTTGTAGTTTATCATTTGATTGTTATAAAGTGTACATACTACTCAGTTTCCTAATGCCATTAATGGGTGATTCAGGGCATCAAAACAGTACTGTTTTCTTTATCCAGGAAGTCATATACAGTATTAGAACACAAAAAGGGCACCTTACTACTTTTAAAACTGCACATTGACTTTACAGGATGCAGTTTAAAAACCATACACATACATGGTATGTGTATACACACATGCATATACACATGTCTGTGTATACACATGTTTATAGCACATAAATTGAAGTATGAAATGACCTAGCCAGAAAGTATATTCTGATGCTGAAACATAATCTAGTTAAAATAGATTAAGTATCCATATTTTTAATTTTGCGTAACGTAATGAAAGAGTTTTCCATTGTTGTTTATTGTGAGCTGTACTTCAGTGTTTACATTTGAGATTATTTTACTCATTTGTTTTGGGTTTTTTTCTGCTTACATTTTGTTTTCCGTTGGTTCATGTAAGTTCATAAAACTCAGGCAGCTGTTTTACTGTTTCCTTAATGTATTTTTAAGTTATTAGGAAACCCATTGTTAAAGAGTTTAAAACTCAAAACAGTCTACAATTGAACTGGTATTGTTATCAAGTCTAAATAATTTATATGACAATATTAAGAGATTATTGACATCATGAAATTTTTGTATTATGAAAAAACTAAAAAATACAGTGTTAGAGTTGTTTTATTTCTACTGATTAAAATATTGAGTAATATTGTCCTGAAAGACAGCTTAATCTTTTGTATAGATGTGGCCATACAAAGTAAAATGTTTTTTTTTAAATATGTGCTTAATTGAATTTGTAACTCTAACTTGATGAGAAGACAAGTTTTGTTTTGAAAAATTAAGATATTGTCATAAAGGGACAAAATCTCAACCTTTTATGATTTTTTTCTTGCTCTATTTAGTTGTCTTTTTTGAAACATAAATGAAATTTCTTAATGAGATCTTTCATATAAGCAAGTAAGCACTTGAATTACACAAAGAGTAATGCACCTTGTAACCATAATAATTCAGTCTCACATGATGTTTTTTGCCTTGTACCTCAAGATTCTAATTTCAGATTATTCTTTCAGAACTGACCATTTTTCAAACAAGTGTTATCTGTTAAGGCAGTTTCTCGTTGTGGACCTTCTATGGCAGTTTCTAGCATATTAACTCAGTTTTGGCTGTCTAGCAATAATAGAATATTTGATGTGTAATTTTAATAATTTCTCTATTTTTCTTATTTACTAGATAACCAACATAAATTGCATTTTAAACAGAATATATATTTTTATATGTACTTTCTCTAGTATATGTCCTGTTGCTGTTTGTATTTACAGTTCCTAGACAAGGATAGCCTACTTGACTCTCAGTTTTGAATTATCTTATCATTTCAGTTTGACT